TTAGAATTAAACGAAAAATAATAGGGAAAAAGAACTTGAGCCTATAAAAACTTTATTATATCCTTTATATGATTTGTACAACCTGCGTCTTGTTAACGCCTTATTGGAATAATTAGGATATAAAAATTCTGATTGTATTCACACCAATGTAACCGGAAGTTATCACAAGAAAAATATTAATGAAACAAATATATTTTACTAATATATAATTTGAATTTATTATTTTAGTGAAAAAAAGTACTAGTATTAAGCGTGATGAAATTAATATAATGAATATTATCAATGATAACAATTTCAATCTGCATAATAGACTTTTAAATAATGACAATAGGTGTATGAAAGGTACTCTAAAGTCTAAGCTAAAGTCTAAGTTGTCAGGTAGCTAATTTCGGTCTACTATGCCAATTTTAAAACTACATTTGACATATTAGACGCAGGTGATTTTTTTTTAAAGTGCGCCTTATATGCCGTCAAATACGGTAGTTCACAGTATATTTAAGGATATTACGTCTTACCAGAATAAAAACTTCAAATTGTACATCAATTTTGACCTTTTCTACTGCGGTGTCCCTTTGGGTCGTGGACAATTATAGCTTTCCACAATTAATCCTTCGAAGCTCTAAGCAATATTTGTGCCGTTACTATACCTCTCAAACCTGCCATCCATTTGCACAAGCTGTTTAGTCATGCCACCCGATGTTTCCTTGTACCCCTCTTGCCTTTAAGACGTCTTATGAGTGTCAGATTTTCCAAGCGCTCTTTCTTCATGCGTCTCGGAAATTTCAAATGTTTCTTCTCGATTGCAAGTATGTGTCCATTCTGTTTCCATTTCATTAAGATTTCATCTTTGCTTACAGTCTTTGTCCATAGATTGCTCAGCATCCTTCTGTAGAACGACACCTGTTTTGTATCAAATTTCCTCTTCATCTGTGAGAAAACTGTCCAGCATTAACTTACATATCGAGGAATTGATATTACATAGCAGTTCAGTACGTTTGTTATTGTCATTGTTTCTAATGAAGGTGTTTGATTTCTTAATACCTTGTCTTTTGCAATCCCAATAGAGTTTTCGGATTTCTGTGTCACATTATCCGTCGTCTATTATAACATTTTCCAAGACACTTAAATGCCTGTACATGCTTCAGCCTCCAATTTTAGTTCGCCTCTTGAGTTCTCCTTTAGGTAAACGATAAATCATTTACTATTTACTAATCTCTCATGTGTTTGCAATAAAGAAGGTAACAAAACTACTTTTTATATTACAAACGTAAACTTCAGCTTCAAAATTGGATGCTACCATATAGTGTTTTAAAGTCCCATACAAATAAACTAGTGGTTTAAAATAACTTAAGATTAAAAAATGTATAAGTATTATAATAACTTAGTTATAATAATTTAGTTAAAGGTGTGAAATTGTTAAGTAATAATGTAGTGTTGTCAACTAAGAATAAAAAATATTTTCAAATAGAAATATACGTTAAATGTTATGAGGTATTTGATTATTGAATCTCTGTGCTACGGTGTTATCTGTATGAGTCTTGCTTAGCACTTAATTTCAATTAACCTTATTAGCACAACTGAGAAAATGATTTCGTTTTTACTTCCGAGTATTTAATTAACTCAGATGATCAACTGCGAATGTTCTCGAATTTCTTGTTCTTTTTTTTCCTGTTGCACAATTCTGGGCGAGAATAATGATTCTTCTCGCTGACATTCACTTCGCATACTTTTTGTGGAAAATGTCAGAGTAAAAGAAAAAAAGAAAAATTAATTTTGAATAATTTTTATCCAAGCAATAAAGTAATTATAGTTTTTACAGAGAACTTAGAATGGAAAAAGCGTGTTACAAATAGCAGAGTTCGAGACTACTACTTCAATTAAGTATTATCCTTAAAGTAGCAACTTACACCCAGATAGAACGTTCTTACTCTCATTTTTCATATGCCTTCAGGGACCAGACGATCATGGCTCTCCACAACTTCATGTCCTTTGTAGCTCTTAACCTCTTCCCCGTCAATTATTTCGACGATTTTTTTTATTATAGTAACTAAGAAACTGAGGCACCTTGAAGTACCCAAGCAATGGCTAACACCAATATCAAACGTATGAGTTGACAATTAGACTCATTTCAAGCTCAAAAGGGCATAAAAAAGAATCAATATCGAAGTATAAATACAGCTGTAACTGTTTGTTTTTTTAACTTTTGGACGTGTTTATTAGGTCCATGTCTGAAAAAAAACAGTTTTCGGTAAAAACTTATATATATAAGTCAGGAGGGTGGGGAGGTTAATAAATTTTGTCTTTCTGCTGTTTCTCCTATTTACTCAAGCTCACTAAGTATGTTATGCGTGTTTTCATATCTCTCTTGCCTTCCGTCTGGGCTGTGAGTATCAAATTTTCCAATCCCTCTTTCCTCATTAGGTTCCCTAGAAACTTCAGTACCTGATGTTAAGCATAAGTAAACTTTTTGTCTCCATTTTCTCTAGAACTTCGCCGTCGCTCATATGTTCGGGCCATGGTATTCTCATCATCTTTCTGTAGAACCACATTTCTGTTCCTCGCCAAAAGTAAATGAATGTCGCCTTTTATATGTCAAGTCCTTTCTGTACATAAGACATCCTGGTTCACTAAAACCTTTTATATTTGTTGTTCTAAGTCATTTTTATACTTTACTATCTCTATTTTATCAAGTTCTTCCATCCATTCAGAAATTCATTAAGTAGATTGCTCGCTGTATTTCTTGTTTCTTGTATGTTCCATGAGTTTTAAATTCTCTCGGCCCTCTTTCTTCATTATTTCTGCGATAAATTTCCTTTCTAACTTTCTGGTCGCATATTTCTTTGTTTTTCCTAATTTCCCTAAGACTTCCCTGTTTCTCTCAGGCTCCACATAGTATGCTAAGAATTCGCCACTTGAACACGCTGTAGGTTCAAGTCTCTTCATTTGCGAAGAGACGGTCCCTTATTTACTGCCATATAGGAGATTACATAGCAGTTCAAAAACTCTTTTCTTTCTTTCTAAGATTGTCCTATGTCTTAATACATGGCTTAGTTTCTGAGAGAGATCTTTCGCTATATCTTTGCGTCATCAGATTTTTTTATCACATTTTCACTATTATATATATACTAGTGTACCTGTGCCGTCAAAATTGACGGCAAGAAGAAATGTACTATAAGTATTATATATTTTATTGTAAGCCATTTTGATTAATCCAAGTACAATTTTGTAATTTAAAATAGTTCGTTTTAACGTTAATAATTGAACAGTGTACAATTTATAAACACCAAAAGAAAGATACTCGTATATAATCCTTATAAATGTTACATATTTACAACCAAAATTATGTTTTCTGCAAAAGTTCCCAAAGTACAATATTTTTGTGTAATCTTTGGAAGGTCTGAATAATCCTCGACAGTCCGTAGATTCAATCTGTAATTTCAGAGTCTGCTTATTTCTCGTCCTACTAAGAGCAATCTATCATCAGACCTTTTAATTTATTTATTTTTTCTCAAGTTATTAACAAATATTCCACAAGATATGGTCCGAATCGTAAAATAAAAACTCCATTAAAACTATCTAATTCTTTAATTGTATAAGTTTTTAATTGCTATCATAAATAATATAAATGAAGGATGAGGTGAGCATAAAAAAAACTCTTTCGATGAGTAATGAATTATTACAAGAATTATCTTCCCGACTTTTTTAATTATAATTTTTAAAGTTTAAAATGAATTTCTAAAAATGAACAAAGCATTCTTGAAGATATATGTAGCGTAATATATATCGATAGCGATATTAATACGCGTCAACGGGACCAAGTTAGCATGGCAATGGGTGGGTCATCGTTATTTTGCACACTGCCCCTCAATGTTACACAAAAAAAATGTGGCGTATTATATATATATATATATATATATATATATAGATAGATATATATAGATAGATAGATAGATAGATAGATATTACTTTGGATTAATCACTAATATAAATATAACTTTTCAGTTGTCATTTTCTGAAGGCAAACATCCGTCTCATTTTAGTTTCTATTTTACTTAAGACCTCCTCATTACTCACATGTTCTTTCCATGATATTCTCCGTATTCACCATTAGAACCACATTTCTGTTGCTTCAAGTCTTTTTCATCTGTAATGAGATTGGTCAGCATCTACAGCCATATAGGAAAATAAATATTACATCGTAGTTTAGCATACTTTTTGTGTCTAACAATATTTTATTATGTCTTAATACTTAGAAACGTTTGCTACCCATTAGTCCGCGTCTAGTGGACCAGTACAGTAATAATGTTTAACGCTATAGCAATGACTGAATAATTTATTCCACTAAGTGAATGCCTAAGTAATAAAATGTCTTTGAATGAGGACTGCAAGTACCATTAAAAAGAGCACTTATAATTAGCATCAGAAAGAGACATAATGAAGATGGCTTAGAAAATTTAATACTCATGTGACACACTGAAGGTAGGAAGGACTGAGGAGAGCAGCACATAACCCACCTAACGAGCCTGTGTAAAAAGATTAGGAAAGAGCAAAAATATAAACTTGACTAAAAGCTACAAAGGACAGGGAATTGTGGAGTACCATGATCTCTCACGTCCTGAAGGGACACGGCACATAGAAAAAGGCCTGAAAAGTTTCGAAAATGCAATTTCATACAAGAAAACGTCGAAACTTTCCTAAATCAAACTCTGAAGGTGTTGTGATACAGTTCTCTTAAAATTGATTTTTTACAGCTTATCAACCTTTTCCAGGTTGTTTAAAACTAGAAAATATTTTTTAGATTGTAAAAAAATGTTATTATTATGATGATTTTACTGAAAATTACTCCTATAATTAACCCATAGCTGGGGGAGAAGAACTAGATTCATAACCTTCTCAAGGGTATTTGCACTTAAGTGAATACAACGAACCAAACTGTAATTGGAACTCAGCTCTGATTTCCAATTCAAATCGTTTTCCATTACACCACCCGCACATCCAAGCTTACATCACCTGGTATTCCCAAACGGCCACCCATCTAGATACTAACCTGGCTGGCTGTTGGTTAACTTCTGTAATCGTAGGAGAAGCGGTGTTTTAATGTGATATGGCGGTAAGCCTTGACATTACTGATTTACATATCGCAAGATTGTACGAACTGAATCTTTTTATTATAACTTTTTTAAGAAACCAAACTGGACTTATTTCCTGATACGTAGGCAAATGATTATCATACTCATTTATTTTTTTTACTTATATATCTACATTCGGTATTTTTTCTTATTTATATGTGCAGTATTATTCATTATCCCTGCTTATTTTTTCTACTTTTGCTCACTTGGGAATTCGTTGTAAAATAGTTTTTGGCATGTCATCTTGATTTTTTGCAGGATCTGTTTAAAATTCAACTCCGAATTTCATTCCATTTCGGAGAGTTGAAAAAACCGTCAACAACTCGTCATATAACTGAAACTCAAATCTCTTGACTTAAGTGTACAACAGTTAAGTTTATCACGAAATAATTAAAACTACATCAAGAGATTTTGCCTAATTTTCAAGCTTCGCTGTCATTTAACACATTGGTCAATCATGTCTTTTAGGTGCGCATGTTGGTGTTCCACAAACGAGAAAAGATCAATGTTGATTTTCTTTCCTACAGGAAATAATATCTAATGTTCAACTGTTATCTTCTCTCCAACGGTTACCCTAATTCGAACTCGTTTTCTCCGTTAGTCATTGGGGGATGAAATTGCTTTAATTTTCTTCAAACTGAGTGTTCGCAACCTAATTAACAAAAAAAATAATAATAATTGAACGAAATGCAAATTTCGACGTAATGACATCAGCAGTTTAAAATCTAGAAGAAGGTGCATACAAGTGCATATAGAAAATGACATAGAGAGAGAAGAATCCTTGGAATGTGTGAGGTGCCCGCTCGGTGATATTTTATCTAATTCTCTAATCAACGATGCGAGTTGAAAACTATCAGAACTTTTTTTTTTTTCGATTTCTTTATCTGGGGTGCTTTATCTTTGCTCTTATTGTAACTCACATGTGCCGTTAGTTGTTCTCTACCTTGTCAACTGTTACGCGTTTTATAGAATTGGAAATAAAATCATAACATTGAGAAAAGGAAGAAATAGATAGAAACAAATGAAATCATACAATATTTGTAGATATGTACTGGTCTCATTGTTTAAATATATATAACGCCTTTAGCATATGTATCCGCGCTTTTATTTATAAAAAAATTATCAGTCATATATAACTGTTTATGAATCTATTTTAGGGCAATGTTCACTCAGTGCAAGGACAAGAGTCACTCACGGCAGATGTGGTGCTGCATGAGCGCAAGAAAATGCAAAAAGTGAATTCCATGACTTTATGTAAGAAAAATAAAGGTGACCCCTAGATTTAAAGAGGTCAAGATTGCAGTGATCGGAAAACATCCTAAGTGTGTTTAGACGGATGCAATTGTTTGAATATAAGTTTGTCTGAGTAATTCTATTGAAATCCATGTACGGAAGACTTTTTATTTTTTTTGTGCGTATATATATATATATATATATATATATATATATATATATATATATATATATATATATATATATATATATATATAGTGTCACTGTTGGCGGGTTCGAGAAGAGAAATCCTACGAGCCGAGTTCGAATTCCGCCTAAGTTGGTTACGATCACTTTCAAACAGATACCCTTGGCAAATGTGTGAATCAATCTGAACTCCTCCAGCTGCTGGTTTAATCGCAGCGTAGACTGAGCTCTTTAGCTATGGTTAGCAACCAGCATAAAAAATTTCATTCAAAGACAGTTTGAAGACACGCTTAAGACTGTAGTATGGGTTACGGGACATGAATTGTGTGTGTTTCTCTGTCTGCATTGTGAGTGTATACATGGTTGACTTGAAAAAATAATGCTACCTCTGACTTGACGTTGGTGTGTATAGCTCGGCTGAATAAATTAAATTATTTAAAGGGACAGTTGAAATTTCTGAGACACACTATGAGAAAAGGGGTGGGGTCTAAATCTATCAGATATCATATTAAAGGCAACAGGGGAAGAGTAACTGACCTAATAAATGACAGATCGGGAACAAAGACTGATGACCTTCCAGAGAGCAACAAAGAACAATAACGCGTGCATTCACTCGCTATGGTCAGTTCGATTACTTTGCTATTGTTTTTCAGATAGTAAAATACTTTTGTTTATGGACAATCTATTATGGTGGCATCATCGTCTCTTGATCTTGTTGCCTGCTTACTATCGTGGCACCATTTTTGATCGCTGCTAATATTGTCCTTCTCTTTTGTATGTCTCTCTCAATTACCTGCATTTATTTTCTTCTAGTAAATTTATTATTATCAACAATGTTATTTCCTTTAATTTCTGGTGTGTACATAATTCTTTCCGGATCCCGCCTAGAGATGTAAGAGTCATCATGACTTTTCCACTAATCAGTTAAAAAAACATACATATTTTACATGGATAATGTCCTTCGTAAGGTGTGAACTGTATTTGTGAGAAAAAAATTTTGTATTACTTTAATGCATGGGCTTCCAGGAATCACTTGAATGAGTCTACCGGGATCTTTTCCAATCAATCCGAGGGCTCCAACTACAACCGGGATTGTTGATGTTCCCATGTGCTACATTTTTGAGATTTCGATTTCAAGGTCCTTTTATTTTGATAGCTTTTTGAAGATCTTCAAAGATACATTGCAGTCTGCAGGGTCTGCCATGTCAATAAGGAGGCTTTTTTGTTTGCGGTCTCTAATAACAAAGCCTGGGCGGTTCTTTCTGTGAGTATTGTGTAGTCCCATAAAATTGTAACAGGTCCTATCTCCGTAACCGGGTCTGGGTGGTGTTCAAACCAATTTCTTTGAGTTTCCTTCCCGTAGAAGATGCAGATTTTCCAGTGCAGGTATTGGCCCACTCTGTGATGACGGGTTTTATATTCAGTGGGTGCCAATATCGTGCAACCTGATACAAGATGATCAATTGTTTCTGAACATTTACCACAGAATCTGCATTTTGGGCTAACACAATATTTTAGTATGTGTGCTTGTTAATTTCTAGTTAACAAGCATTGGTCCTGTGCAGCAAAAATAAAACCTTCCGTTTCAGCTTTTAGCCCTGCACTACGTAGCCACTGATAGGTACGGGGTTGTATACATCAACTTGTTTGGTACGGGCAAAGTTTTGACCGTGAAGCGGCTTATCTTGCCATCGTTTCTGTATCTGGCTGGTTGCATTTGCTTTTGTACTTTCTTTTTTAAGTATTTTGCAGCTTCAGTCGGTGTATTGTGCTTTACTTGTATTTATTTAACCCATTTGAAACTCCATTTTGAACTTGGCTTCCTTTATTACGGAATAAAGACGCTTACTACTATTATGTTCTTTGACACATATCATCATCCAGTCTTCTGTAGTTTCCAGGTATCTTTGAAGGCCAATTGTTGTAGTTTTGTAGGACAGTTCTAGTTGAACTAATCCTCTGCCTCCTTCGGATCTGGGCACATACAGACGATCAACATCAGCTTTGGGATGATTAATGCGGTAGCAAGTGAGAAGCTTTCTTTATTATTATTATTATTATTATTATTATTATTATTATTATTATGTTTTGGCATTGCTTTGCGTAGTATGAGTTCCCCCAAGTCTCAACGTGGGACTTCAAGAGACAATATTTTTTTGCATCAGAAGATGTAAACAGATTAGGTGTCATGACCTAATGGAGAAATTATTATTATTATTATTATTATTATTAAATTGATTTCTTTAATGTTATGTCAATTTAATCGAACGGTGGTCCTAAAATTAACCTATAGATGCGAATGTGTATTTCCAGAAAAATAGATTCACTAGAAACGTTTCTTAATAAAAAAAAAAAACTTTATCAAAATATCTTTCTTCCATTTTTCATTAAATCAATTAACAAAAGAATTTCACTAATTTTGAGAATTTTAAAAATGAACATTCCTATATATCCATCGAATTCAATTTTTTCTGTTTCATTATTTTTTTTTTACTTTATTTTTTCATTGATCAAAAGCTATTGTCACTTACCGAGACAACATTTTTATAAGATAGGCATGTGTACGTAATATTTTAAGGATGTAAAGAGCGCAGTAAACTACCCAAGACAAAAGCGCCTTTCAGTCAAAATCCGAATATCTGGTGTCCAACATATCGTATTTTTCACAGCAATTCTGAATTTGAGCGACCGATTTCTTTATGAGCATGCGCAAAGTGGGTGGTTTGTTGGCATGCTTCCTAATAAGGTGGAAGGATGGGAAAATTCCCTGGCAGGTATGCTCTTTGGCTGGCGTCCATCCATTTGGTGCATTAGCAAAGATTAACCCTGAAACTACCGACATAGGAAGTGTCAATGGTTGGGTCTAAACTTTCACATCTAATCTTATTCAACATTCAAGTACCATATTCAATGAAATGTATAACATTCGAACAACTGTGTTATTCAAGTTACGATGCAACCCGAGCGTTTCATAGCATAACTACCTGCTTTGATTTTCTTCATATATTTATTCAAACTTGTTTATGGCTTCGTTTCAAGACAATGTAATTTCAAGGTAGATTTTAATGTATTCTTTGGACTATAATGCAACAGGTTCACTGTTATTTCTCTGGTAGTATTGAGGCTCATCTGTTACGGATGGGGCTGTTTCTGCTTCTGACATTGAAACGATTTAAAAACTGGTTGTATTTAATACCTTCTCAATTAATATTGTTAGAGGCATTTGACGTCATAAAAAACATTTACGTTGAGTCATAATTTCTGTATATGTCTATCGGTTTATCATCAAAGACCAATAAATATTTATTCAGTTATATAATCCCCATTATTTGCAATAACTTATTCTCACTTATCAGTTAGATCTTTTGAGTAAAATTCCGCATGTTTTGATGTGACAGTTTTCAACTGTTTTCTCTTAAATCTGGTTTTCGTTGAAGGAATTGTCCCCATGAAAGTGTTTTGTTCAATAAATAAATAAGGTAAGAAGCGGTTGGCGCAAGATCACGTGATTACAATGAGTAAAGTAGAACAGTCCAAATAAGTTCTAGACTTGCATTGTCA